TGACGGGTTATACAGGGCGTTCGGTCCAAAATAGAAAAATCGACTGGGTTTACTCCCAAGCATTGAGTTCATTTCCCATGGAATATAGCACAGGTGCTGAGCTTTCTTATGCCCAGATTCCGCCGATTTTATTGTGTTTTATTGTGTTTAAGTTCAACAAGTGCGTTTATTTCATAGGCACATTTTGGAAAAGAAAAAGGAAGAAAACCAAGACATTTGGTTACTTGGTTCACATATTATTTTGAGTGTACTGTCTGTAGGAGATGACAACGAATCCACTGTACATTCTTTTGTGGGACTTAATCCCTTGAAAAATGCTCATACCTGTATTCAGTCTGTTACGTGCATACGTATAATATATGTAGAAAATTCTAGCGTTGGGGCCATCTCGTGAAAAGTTTATTTCATTCTCGTCATAGTCATTAGAATTATTCCAATTAATAACTTAAGTCGTATACATGTAGTGTACATATGTCTTTTTTTTCATACAGGATTAGGTCGAAAATAGTCAAAAGAAAGCCTGCCCCCAGCGCTATTGCTTCAGTTGATCCTGTTTCTTCTTCTTCATGACTCATTCCACTTCATTTATTGCCGATTTTGTTTGACAGGAAGGGTGTGACAGGGCTAGAAGGAAAAAGGAAATTAATGTGATATAGACGCAACGACGGTATTCGTCATATTTGAACTTGATGCATGATTGTACAGTATTTGGTTCTATTTTCGTTCTTTAATAGTTAAGTAATTAATTTTCAGGACATTCATATTCTCAAACCCACCCTGGGGTCTGGACAACAATTTATCATCAAGATTGAGGTAATTATCTGTTCACCTTTACCTGACCAGGTAATTTTGTTGTAACCAAGTCTGTCAGAGTGAACAGACGAAACAGTCAACAGGTAGATCAAATATGTGGATCTACTATAAATGAAAACATTTCGACTGATAATATAGAATAATAAGACAATATTGCAGTTCTTGGATCACATAAAAGATGCTAGAAAAATAGGCGAGCGCTTGATCAGTAGAGAGAGATTAGAGTATTGGCACCCTTGTATATGTACAAAAAAGAAAGAGACGGTTCATATACGTTTGAAACTGCAAATCGCCGCCGTCATAACAAGAATGCTTTAGCCTAGGCGCGTGCGTTGGATGCGTTGTGATCAGCTCAGATCGTCGTCTTGATCAGACCGTAGTAAGAAAATTGAATTGTACTCGAAATCCATCATTATGTTTTGCAGTCGACTTTTTAAATCAATCGTAATATATGACTTTAATTTATCAGTTTCGTTTAAAAGCAACTATAGCGAAGTTGAATTTAGAATAAATGAAGACAACTTGGTCATGACCATTTCTGCATAATCGTGCGTCTCACGTCTTTGTTTGTCCTCCCGAAAAACATTTTCCTCCGCTTTTTTATAATCACCATGTTCCCTCAAGAAATTCAAAACAAATAAAAATATTTTAAAAAAGCCCCTACCCTAAACTACATACCACTGAGTATCATGTGTCTCTGTAACGTGAACCACCACTACATTTTTAACCCATTCCTTTTGGGTGGCATATTCCCTACATTGTCTTTAGTGCATGCTTCGGATGTTTGATGCCCCACTTTTATAAATATTTTTTTGCGATCAAAAGAAATAAAACACAAAAGAGGACGACTTTAAAATACACCAACAATTTATTAAGCGAACCTCGCAGTTTTGGCGAACATACCAGAGCCGTGTTGAAGAAAATACCTGAGGCTGGGATATCTGTTTAAGACCTTCAAATATAAGCCGATCTGTACACATCTCTCTTTTTAATTTGCGAAAAAAATTGATATGATGAAGTGTAGAAGAGACCGAGAGCGTTTTAAAGCTTTCAATATCACCGTTGTGGAATGTACCTTTAATAAACACACTGAGATTTTTGTGGCGGTATTTTAATACACCCGACATTATCACGCACTGCCTCAGACTGATGAATGAAGGGATCAACATGGATACCGGGTAAGGATGCTGTCAGCCTTCACAGGGAATGCCACGCAGTTTATTTATTTATTTATTTATTTATTTATTTGTATTAATGACGTTGATACCAATAAACTAATGTTTGACGTAAGTGACGAAACTTAATCTTCACTTCAAATTGAAATAAAGAGGCAGAGCAGTTCTGTGGAAATAAAGCGCGAGCGGACAATAGCTGGGTCAAAGACCAAATCATGCAATTGAATCAGTTCTTTAGTGTGGAAGAAAACGCGTTCTATTTATAGGTTAAACTGTAAGATTTACTAGTAAACCAATATCAGGCATAGGTACTATTTCACCTACCACGTGCACGTCATAAAGGACGAGAGTCAAAAACGTCAGTTAATCCAGACCGTGACAATTTGCAGGGGCGGATTGAAGTCGTCTTCTGGGTCTTCAATTTTACATAGACGGGTATCTAATTTTTTTTCTGTCGGATGACAGACAAGAATGGGTATTCGTTCAACAAAGATAATTTGGAAGACTGTCAGGAAACATATCGTGATCCGCCTCTGATTTGAAAAAAAATCAACTCAGTATCTATTCGTTCAAAGCATATAGAATGACTATGTGTATACGTTACTTACGTCTTTTGAATGTGTAAGGATTAAACGCGATAGGATGAAACCCCGCCCCCCTTTGAAAAAATCTTCTTCCCTAAACAAGATACCACCCCAAAGTGTGGAATACCTTACCACATTTTATTAAAACAGCAGAAGACTTTGACAGTTTTAAATCCCTTCTAAAGACCTACATTTTTAAATCTGTCTATTGCTTTTAGATTTTTTAATATATCTCAATACGATTGAGTTTTTAGTAGTGTTAATTTTAAATGGTTTCCAATGAGTGTTTTAGATTAAAATATTGGAGTCATTTTAATGATTTTAGTTAAATTATCCATTATTGTAAGGCGCCTTGAGGTAGCATGTAAGGCGCCATATAAGAAGCTTATTATTATTATTATTATTATTATTATTATTATTATTATTATTACACCCTTGGGTATCATGCGTCTTCGTGTGGTGGACAGCCACCACACCTTATTACCGGGTATACGGGTGACACATTCTCTACGCTTCCTTTAAAGTGAAGCGTGCCTCGGATGTTTGATGTCGTTTTCTGATAAACATCCATCTTGTGGCTAAAAATACATGATTAACTTAACTTCTACGAAAAAGGGGGGACGTAAGTGACGAAACTTAAGCCTGGATTCAAATTGAAATAAAGAGGCAGTGCAGTTGATCTGTGGAAATAAAGCACGAGCTGACAATAGCCGGGTCAAAATCCAAACCATGCAAATAAATCAGTTCTTCAGTGTGCAAGAAAACACGTTCTATTTATAGCTTAAACTGTAAGATTTAACAATACACCATATAGACTAATAGAAACTATTTCACCAACCACGTCATTAACTTATGCTTTTTGAATGTGCAAAGATTTAACGCGACAGGATGAAATCCGTCTGCCCTTTGAAAAAATCTTCTCTAAACAAGATACCCTTGGGTATCATGTGTAAGGGACGCGGTGGCGCCCCTTAGCATGTCCCACGCCCCTAGGATGTCGCGGCGCCCGCGCCTAGACTAGAAAGATTTATTATAAGGTCATATTTAAATTAGACATTAAGGCAGATGTAAATAGAACAGGTGGTGGGTAGAGGGAGAACTAAGGCAGTGGGAATAAAGCTGTTTGGAAATCCACGACTCTTGTTGCTCACTTCTTCTCGATTTGTGAACCTAAAATTGAACCTTTCAGGATTTACAGTGTCTCATTAATGTGGACAGGCACCACACCTTGAACCACTTCCTAAAAGAAGTATGTCTGTGGGTGGAGATATCTGTTAGAGACCTACAAATACAATGAACCAGGTTATTTTATCGACTGTGGACTGACATTCATCTAGACATTGAGTGACAAAAAGTAAGAGAATTCTAAAACATAAGAAAATGAAAATTAAAAGTAAAAAGAAAGAAAGACAAATTAAAAGTTTTGAGGTGATGGGTGCTCTGTAATACCCCCGTTACACTAGAGGCGAAATGAGCAAGAACGCCGTCGGAAAGACAATTCTTTGTGCGTTCCTGGAAATTCGAAGAACATTCTAAAAATTCCGAGTGCATTCCAAATATTTTTACCCATTCTTGGATCCAGGATTATTTGAAGGAGGGAGGGGGGTCCACGGATGTGAAGCCGGCCTCCACCCCCCCTTGTCTCCCAAAATTTTGGTATTTTAGAGGGCGAACGGTGCCATTTGATACGCTTTAGAACCCGATTATGTTTTAATACGATGGCATTTGGATGCTCCTGGTCGTGGCGGGCTGACCCCGCTAATGCATGCCATCTATCGGGGAAGACTGGGAATAGTGAATTTTTTCACTAAACGTGCGTTTTCAATGAATAGTAGATCTGTGTATTTAAGAATTTGGGCAACGAAAAGATTTGCTTATGCTAATTGTTTCTGCGGAAAAGATCGTGTTTACCAATACCTATTCATATCATATCGTCTTCCCTTTCCATTTATAATTGATAAAATTCGGGGTGACGACCGTTTACGCCACACCGTAAAACATAATATGTTAAATATAGCAATTTTTTCAAAATTCGATATATGCACGAAAATTATAAATAAAATAACTTTAATATGTTTTCATTTCTGCTGTAAAGTCACCAGGAAGGTGTGACCTTGAAATAGTTGATAACAAGGCTCTCAGAGCGTTAAGGCACTATAAAAACAATCAACTTGCATGATAATTTTAAATTGTGCATGCAAACTGTAGATATATGCAGCCTTTGTGAGAAACTGACAGAGGCAAATCTGCTCTGGGTGCGATGGAAATTACTGGTATATATAAGCAAGGAGTTCTGTTATAACTCCTTGATATAAGTAATATCAGAACCCGATCAAGAAAGAGATGGAGAGGACACGCATGAGTTACTGCTACATGTAATGTATATCAATGACTACAGATAAATGCCAATGACTACACAGTTGACAATGATTTTAAAATCCCATCTAAGATGAAGTATTACTTAATTAAGTAATAAAGAAATTTTCTGGGTGAAATCTGTTTTATTCATGCAGTAACCAAGCCCTCTCCATTCAAGCCCATACGGTTCAATGTACATTGAATCAATTTTTATGTTGAGTTAACCTCCAATCCATGTTTGGTTTTGCAAAGTATATTTAACAATGAAACAAGCTTATATAGTCAGTCATGCACTTAATTAAATGTTTCAAAACAATTGTTCCAAGTAATACATGTAACTGGTTTACTATAACTTTACTCAATATTACCTATATTAAAGATTGTCCTAAATACTCTGTTAGAGAGAATGGTGTCATGTTAATGAGTTTTCAATCTTTCCTGATCTGTTGATCTGCATGAACGTAGAGTTGAGCTCACTTTTTCGTTGATTTTGTTCTAGTAATTGATATCTCTTCTATGCAAATTCATGCATACAAACACCTAAACTGTTTGCCCTAGACACCAAGTTCGGCTTCGATTTCATCAGACGCAAGGTAGAATAATTCCGGTCGAGCAATCCCGTTGAAGGAGGTTGCAAGCACAGTAGTGTATGCCCCCATGTTAGGCACGTACAACCAGTCTCCGATGTCCAGCTCGGGCAGTTGGATGTTCTGTGCCAGGCGATCAGGAGGATTGAGTGTTGGACCCCACAATGTACATTGATAGACCGGCATTTTGTCTTTTTCCTACAATATCACAAAAATGTGGTTTCTTTACCTATACACAGCAAAGACGAAATATATAAAACGTTGCAATGTAAAAGGAATACTGAAACTGAAATGACATGAAAACACGTCCTTAAGTAAACTTTTGCCAACAGCATTTAAGAGGGCTTTTGCCAAAAATATTTATTCAGTCAGTTATTTTTCTAGTAAGCATATCAAAACCACGAAGACTGAGGCGTCATATTTACGCTCATCTTGCGGGGTAGATCCTGTATCCTCTATACGTACCTTTAAAACGTAAAACTCTACATTAAGCCTTTCGACCAATGATGGCATTGTGAAAAAGAACGACCCATGAATTCCGTCACTGAGGTAGTACACGTATGACTGTTCAGAGTCCTTAAAGTGACAGGAAAAAAGAAACCAGCATGAAAATAGTTTCAAAAATGCGTGACGGAAAGACTGATACACTGAAAATCAAAATGTAAAAAATACCATAATTATTCTACAAAAATTAAGAAAAGTTAAGAGAGCGCACCTTGGCCGAAGGTCCCGAGCGTTGAACTCGTTTACCGATAACTCTAAGTGCCAAGGTGAAGGCCGACTGAACGTAGTATGTTCCAGGTTCAGCAATGACAACAACATTTTCTTCCTTGGGGAAATATTCGTCCAGAGCCGTGTTTATGTCTTTGGCAACATCAGCAAATGTTGGTTTGCCTTTGACTGCATAACCGGGGAACCCTCCACCAATGTCCAGTAAGCTGAAGTTGTAGCCAATGGCTTTGGCTTCATCAAAGATCTCACGGCACAAGCGTATGGTGTTTTGGTAGGCCATGGAATCGAAGCAGACTCCACCAATATGAAAACTAAGGAAATATTACTTTTGTGTAACACTCTGAAATGTCACACTATACCAAACAAAATACTGTTGAATTTCACGGAATTGTTATTCATTTTAGTATGATTTATATTCAAAATTGCACGTATCAACCAAATAACAGGAGAATTTGAAAAATAAAAAAAGAAAAATAATATTCAAAAACTGAAAAAAAAAGATCGAGGTACAAAAACAATTTACAAACAACACTATTAAGTGAGGTATATGTTTCCAAATACGTTAAACTGCAAAACTGCAAGATGTGTTAAGTTAAAACTATTCAAATTTAGTAACGATTGTTGAATACCTGACACCTACGACCGCCAGTGTCATTTCTTTTGCTTTCTCGAGAAGTTCTTTGCATTGGTCGGCGGCGCAACCATACATCTCGCCGTAGTCATATTCACCCTTGTTTACTTGTGGGCAAATTCGCAACACAAGCCTCGTGCCAGGAAAGAGACTCTTTATCTTGACTAACTCATACTCGTTGTCAAAGGTCATAAGGTCGACTCCTTCTTCTGAGGCACGTTTGATGTCTTGGGGATCCTTGCAGGGATGGGCATATATAATCCGATCTGTTCCCACGCCATGGTGTAGAACCTGCTGGAATTCAGCGTTGCTGGCGCAGTCAAAACCCGCCCCGAGTGCCGCAATGGTCTTCACGACTGGTTCAGTGTTGTTACATTTCACGGCGTAGAAGGGTTTAACACGAGGCATCAGTTCCACCCAGCGCTTGTGCTTGTTAACGATGTCATCCAAATGGACAATATAGAAAGGACGCTGCAATAAATTTTATAGCGCCTAATAACGGTATGTTAGGTTAACTTTATAGATTTGGCAACAACCCCAGTGTGACCAAAGAAAAAAATGTGTACACTGTTTTTGTTTAAGCCTACATTGTACGCATACATTTGCATTCATTCCCATTACCAACTGTCTAAGCTGCAAAACGACTTTCATTTTTAATAAAAAAAAGAAAAGTTCAGTTCCTTTAAAGGCATGCCATGCTAATCGGAGTAAAGTCAATATCGACGACTTAAATATATATAGGAGATAGATAAATGTATTAGGAGCACCTATTTCGACGATGATTAAAATTAAGTTGTTTGCAACGCATGCATTAAAACTTCCAGATCCGTGCATGTTCCAGGCCTTGCTGGAAGAACATAGTCAGGTGATAAAAAGGTAAACCGTTTAAGAATAAACGATATTTCATTTATGGTAAATACCGTTTCGACACTTTATCAACAAGCATTAATCACATGACTATCTCGCCGAAGCTCTGGAAGTTCCAGGCTTTATACTTATGGACACAAACTCGATTACATTAGTCTCTTAAACCCCTTTTACAATGAAAAGCGACCTTTGTATGTCCCTTCTACGACCAAAAATGTGACCTGGACGATCAATGGTTGCTAAAGCTAGAAAATCGTATCTCTGTGTAAACCGTGTTCCCTGCGATACTTGTGCCTCCTTTGAACGACTAAATCAGGATATTACTTGTATACAAACGAGCAACATGTGCGTCCACTGAGCGACTTGTCTGCCTCCCCTGCTGTGCGTCCTCTGTACAACCTACAACATCCAATGCGATTACAGACGATGCAGGCTATCCTTGAGCGATGTTTGAACAACCATTAAACGCCCTCACTGCATTCTCTGTACCATCTCAGGCAACCAATGGCGATCAGTGGCAACCATTCTACAATCTTTCTGCCTCCTGATGAATGTTGTTTGGGCGACCTGGAGTGCTTGAATATGTTCTGGCTCTTTTTTCATCAGTTCTAACCGGTCTGAACATCTCCAGATATTAAATAATTAGTATTAAACCTTTTTTGCAAACTATTGTAATACAAGATCTGCATGCATGCACTGACAATACGCCAGATAAGCCAGATGGTCATTGTTGTCCTTTTAAGAAGAGTGGACAGGCGCCAAGGAAGCCATGAACTTGGTGCTGACACAACACAAATGTTCAAATCCGTTTAGAACTATCAAACTCTGCAGAAAACGGCGACAAGAACTGAATTTTGAAAAACAGCATAATATTGGTATTATAATTTCCTTCGAGAACTGGCTGGTTAAAGCATTTTGAAACCAAATAACAATTGGAGGCTGTTATGAGGATACAAGTAGCTTTAACGCTTAGATTTCTTACCTCTGTTGAAAAAATACTCTAGCACGGCCCAGGTTGTGAGTGAAAAGTAACAGCTATTACGCTCCGACCACTGGCCTACCATTGAGTATCCATTCTGCAACAAAAGCGACGCTAGTGCTTCCTTTCTACTTCTCTTGAGCGACCTTGAAGCTACCAACCTCCACCGCGACCTTTGTGCAATTGTTTAAGCATGTTTAAAACCTTGCAACGGCAACGCCTAAAAATCCTGTTCACCTCTTAGCGATCACTGTGCCCCCCTTTGAGCCTCCAACGGCGACCTGGCCAGTTTCATGGTCGAACAAAGATAGTTTTCTAGTGTAAAGGAGGTTTTACGAAACAATTCTTTTAACCACTACAATAAAGGCAATGAAAAATATGCAGTTAGATAATTTGATTCTGTTTGTGTTCACGCTGCCCAGAAAATAGTTGTTTCAAAAGGCTATTGGCCCAGCACATTCCTATATATAGAGCTTTCAACAGCGACGTTCATAACACAAACTCTGCTTGCGTACTAAAACAAGTCTTAGACCACGATATTATGTCAATGCCATGCTAAGAATCTTGATTCTCAAATACCATAATTACCCTGTCTTTATCCTCCATAATCTTTTCTTGAATAACTTTCAGTACTGCCTGGTTATTGTAATGTCCAGGATGTCCCTCAATATCCTGCGCGATTTGAGGGCGCGCTGTTGTCATTTTGTTTTCTTATAAAAGATGGTGGAGTATCTTTTCCTTAAAATAAAATCAAAGAATCTGAAAATTAATTTTAAATGCAATTTAAAGATTCTGGAAATAGGTAGATATGTTTTACTTTAGCAGACATAAAACGCATTCTAAACATCTTGTTTTTATCTGATTCCACAACAAAGCAAAAAAAAAAAAAAGACGCTGAATGCGACAGATGCAACAATTATATGTAATTTTCAGTAACCGTGTAGTTAAACAGATGATAAGACAGTTCCCCTCAACTACTGGTACATGTTTTTGTATCAGTTGCCCTTTTTCCAAAATGGATTACACATTTAAGCTAAATCATAGAACAGATTGTTAGGACAGACCATGGAGTCATTCCTCATCATTACTTCTATGCATTTATCTCTGCCTGTCACACCACCGCTGGTGGATGATCTCATGAGGCTTTCTCCACGATTTTATGTTTGTGTTGCGTGTTAATTTGCCATGCCAGCGCTGGTGGCGTGCGGGTTGGCAGTGCCTGATGCCCCTTTGCTCAAGCATCAGGAATATGCGGCTTGTTACATATTACTCGTGGCAGCCTAAATGAGCTGTACAGACATCTTTACATTATGTAGACTTAAAGGGATAACAACTGTTCATTTTGGCCAAAAAATGGATTTTTCTGAGTCAAAGGACAATTCTCCCATACTCACTTATGGTTACTGAATCCATTCTGACATATTCTAACTAAGTCCCTGTTTTTTTTTCTATAATGTCTTTTTTTTTTGGTTGTAATATTCTCTTAAGAGAGTATTACAGATGGAGGTCACGTGATGTGATGGCAAGCACAAATTCCAGAATAATTGCGTTAAATGCCGTTTTAGTGGTAAAATAGAATTTATTATATTTTTATGAGTTGTTTACAATGTACTTATTGTGACATATAGATATCATACGAATAGTTGTTATCCCTTTAATGGAATCTCGCTGTGGACTGAATGGACAAACAGTGGAAATTTATATTAAGCCCAAACAACACATCACAACGATAAAATACAATTGAAAATTAAAATTGTTCGGAATCTGGGGATCTTTACTCTATCTAAAATGGTTTTGGGATTGTGAACTTGGGATTGTCACATTGTGCTGACCAAGAACAATACATGTCAGTTTATATATATATATATATATATATATATATATATATATATATATATATATATAAGACCACCTTACTTCCCATTAGCCTTAAAATAAATTGACATCATCCAACATACAGTGCCAATTGTTGAATACAGTCTCCTGGTTTTTTTTTTTTTTTGGCTTGTTTGGGAGAATATGATGTTGTTTTTGTTTGTTAGGTGGCAAGAAAGCAGCACTCAAAATGTTTTAGGAAAGTTTTTCGAAAAAAACAATCTACAGGTACATGCCATCTCGGACCACTTAATTGACACATTCTGAAATCTACTGGTCTGCATGAATTTTTACTGGCCGCTGCAGTCAGACCAGTGGCTTAAGTAGCAGGCAGTAGTACATACAAATAAATACAGGGTCCAAAAGTAACTGTATTGTTTTACAGAGCTAAACTGCTAAATGACTTACCTGTTAGGCTACTTTAACTTGGTATAAAAATGCTCTGATACATCTGAGAAGTACGTTTATATTCGCCTGCACTGTAATGAATGAATATCTGACAGCCGCTTTTTAGATACAATTAATTCATGACGTTGACTGAATGTTGCCACACACTGCATTAATTCAAAACTATGTTTTGCCTAGGTACGTGATGCGTCTACCTTGACCTAGGTTGCGTAAAACTCGTTTACCGATTACTGTAAGTGCCAAGGTTCAGCAATGGCAACAACATTTTTTCCTTGGGGAAATAGTCCTCCAGAGCCATGTGGCAAAAATATTCCTCCAGAGCCATGTTAATGATTTGGGCAGCATCAGCAAATGTTGGGTTGGTATAACGAAATGAAAACCAAAAGACAATAATAATTCAACGAAACACAATCACAAAGTAAAAAAAAATAAATAATAAGTAAAATAAGCCATCTATGCTCAGGACTTATTTCCCGTGTAGGTAAACAAACGTAAACAAAAAATGCATACAGCCGTTGCAATCTTGCGAGAACATCTACCGCAATCACTATACAAATATTATTGTTGCTCGCTATGCCTGCAGTAACAATTTAGGTTCACTTTATGAAATAAATACAAACAAAACGTTGATTAATTCCACATATTAATCATTATTCTTTTATAATCAAGGTTACAGAAAGGATTTCAAAGAGGGGAAATAATATATACAAACTACAGGGACCCATATGCATTAGAACGATTTAGGAAAAAATCACGTTTTAAAGGTACACATGAACGATGGAGCGTGGATTCCCAGTACAGTTGTTACACATATAAACCACTTTTACTAGTTTCTTGTACAACTCAAATAAATTCAACATGCCAAGGGATAAACTGAATAAATCACTCAATCATCCAGAAAAGAGCTTTAGACTGCTCCTCTCTTTAAATTTTTGGTCAGAAATTTAACCTACTTATCTGACCTACTTTTATGTCCCATATATACAGCATAGAAATCTAGAAGAAAAATCTGTTTAAATATCATTTTTCGGGTAATATTAAACAATGTCCTTTGGTAATTCCCTTAGCTATACTATTTGAAACTATATACTGGCATTTGGTTGGCTTTTGTGGCAAAAATGACTTCACATGGATCTTTAACATGATTTGTAAAGATGTGCGCCTTCCAAATATGTAAAACTGCAGGAAAAAATTATTTAAGTGAATGGTTTGAGTGTTAAACTTGAATGTAGCCATAAGCGATTTTTGCTAATGTTAACTTATTGTTTCCATGTAAATATGATGATAAAATTTAAGCTGCCTATAGTCTTAAACGCCAATTTCAGAGGGGATTTCACCTGATGCAAGGTAGAATAAATCCGGTCGGGCTGTCCCGTTGAAGGAGGTTACTGCTACGATAGTGTATGCCCCCATGTTTGGCACGTACAACCAGTCTCCGATGTCCAGTTCGGGCAGTTGGATGTCGTTTGCCAGGCAGTCAATGGGGTCGAGTGTTGGACCCCACACGGTGCATTGATAGACCGGCATTTGTTTTTGGTCCTGCAATATTACACAACTGATTATACGTATGTCGTGAGTATGTCGTTTATATCTATATATCCATCGCCACTGAACAATTTTGTAGGACTTTTGTAGTCTATATATATATATATAGCAAAGGGTGAAGATGAACAGGGCAGCAAAGCTGTCAAATGTACAAAAGTTTAGGAGAAATTCATGCAGCCTTAAAACCTTGAACATTTGTAACGAATGAAAAATTTATAAAAAATGATAAAAAATGAAGATGGTTTTTTAAAAAGAGCCACTATTATAGCCCAACATAATTATTTGAGCAAATATAAAGAAAAAATTTAATATGAATTGGAAATCCAATTACCAATCCCTACAAGGAATTTTTCAAAACTGTCATTGTCAAATTTCCAGTCTGACCTTGAAAATGGGCCAAAGGTCATGTTCAATGTCATAATGAACTTCTTTACTAATGAGTTTCTGTGCAACTTCAGCCTTACTTATATGTCTATCTTTTATGATTTAAGAAATATCCAGCCCCAAAGCCTGCTAATTGCCTACAAGGCTTTGTATGTTTAAACAATTAGCAGTGTTTAGGAATGTATATTCTTTACCGTCTGAAATAATAATATCTACTTCCATAAGTAAGACGCGGTATTAGAATTTTTATTTTCCTGAAACAAACAAGCAATGAAAATTTCATAACTTATGGAGAAAATAACCCATCAGACCGGATTTCAAAGTCAAGATGCATTCCTATCCTTGAAATCGTTCTTGTAAGTTTGCATACAATAAATATCATGGATTTTTCTTTATGGTGTTAATAATAATTATAGTGCAATGAATAGGGTTTCTGTCAATTTTGATGCACTATTACATAATGCTGAACAGAATAATTACCATTAAATTTAATTATATGTACTACAGAATATTCAAAAATGCATTAACACTCGTTTTCAAGTTCATGGGCCTTCAAGGTAATACTTTGAAAATACCAATGAATAAATGAAACATTCACAAAAACTGCATTACTTTAAGGAAATCATCGATCAATAAAGCCGCTATTCAACCTTGGCCTGTACTTTGGTACTATGAATAAGTTTGATAATAATACGTTATGTACACGCTTATCTTTTTATTGCGTTAACAATGAAAAGTGCACGGAGACGACAAACGACGTTGATGGCTGTTTGTACAGGATCATCTGAAATCACGTTGAAAACAACCAAGAATGCCAAAACTAACATGGCGACAGATTTATATCAGTAAAGCATAGATGCTAAAACCTTAAAAATACGGAGGTACATGTAATGAGCGACTTTATGACCTCTCATGAATGAACGAGATAAAAGATCTGAAAAGCGAAATGTGTATAACCAAATCTCTTTCCACTTCAATACTTGAACATAATAGAAGAACATAAGAACATAATAGTTTTGATTGTTTACAATTATTATTCCTCTGAAATTAAAAGAAATTGGATTCTTGTGGCTATGTCTAAGCATTGGCAAGACTATCCTTTTTTATTCAGACGTACTCTTTGGGTTCAAGGATGATATGTTAAAACATGCCCTTTGACATTTGTTAACTAAATATTTACCCAATCAAACCATAATTAAACCTAAAAAAGTGAAAACCCATATAAACGCTGTTTATTAACTGTCTAAAAACTTACTACATACCTTAATAACACGAAAACCTGGAATCGCTTTGTCAACCAGCACTGTGAAAAAGAATGACCCATGAATCCCGTCATTGAGGTAGTACAAGAACGACTGTTCGTGGTCCTGTTCGGGTTGCAGGAAAAATGAGTACTCAAATTATTTTATATGAAATGAAGCAGCCACAGACACACAGACAGATTGATAGATGCATCATGTACATACACATATACATGTAAATTGTATAAAAACATAAAGAATAAACAGTTTTAAATACACGTACCATGTCCGAGGCTGCCGAGCGTAAAACTCGTTTACCGATAACTCTAAGTGCCAAGGTGAAGGCCGACTGAACGTAGTATGTTCCAGGTTCAGCAATGACAACAACATTTTCTTCCTTGGGGAAATATTCGTCCAGAGCCGTGTTTATGTCTTTGGCAACATCAGCAAATGTTGGTTTGCCTTTGACTGCATAACCGGGGAACCCTCCACCGATGTCCAGTAAACTGAAGTTGTAGCCAATGGCTTTGGCTTCATCAAAGATCTCACGGCACAATCGTATGGTGTTTTGGTAGGCCATGGAATCAAAACAAGTGTCACCGATATGGAAACTTAAGAAAAAGTTAAGTATTCTGTTAATATTGTGAGGTACCAAAGCACAGCAAATGAAATACCGCATCAAGTATAGAAATTTACACAGTTGATTTTAGTCTCTTTGTTTATCAAAGTGGCAGCGCGGATAAATTTTCAAGCTGTAGCAATAAGGTCGCGCGACAAGGTTATTTTCTGTTGCACCCTGGATTACGCACGCTTGCTCCGCAAGGTGTCGCCTGTGGTAGGGGGGCAGCACATCCCATATGGTTACTGTGGCAAAGGTGACAGGTACTTCCAAACATTTTTTCATAACTGTCATTTTTCCTCATTCTAATCATGAATTTGATATTTACGGCAATTGAAAATGTGGCACCGGCAAAAGTGAATCTAGATGCGTTGACAGGCCGCACAGGTGTCCCCAATTAACCGCCGCCAGAGAAGAGACCCCAAGCATTAAACAACACAACCTGTAGATATTGGAAATTTAGCGAAAGTTAAGCAACTGAGGCTTTATTAGATTTGGACAGAAATAGAGGGGAATGTCCATTGACATGCCAAAAAACCTAAGTTCAAGTCTTGGCCCTTGACACCAGTAACGCACCCCTTAGTCAAGAATCTGAACAAATCAATGTTGGGCAGGTATGCTCTATTTTCTACAGGCGTTTTGTGATTTTATCAACTTGATTGTCAAGTGCCAGACCTTTTGTTCCCAGGTACTAGTAGCAAACTTTATCAGATAACAATCTGACACTAGCCAAGCTGCACTAAAAGCGCTGTAAACCCAGTTATCAATGCTGTCATCTTTACCTTTATCTTTACCGGTATTATGCCAGTGGTACGTTTGATATATTTGAGTAAGGAAATATGCTTTAATGCTTATGTTCATTTGTAATACGTTAGCATCAACCTGTTAATAAAAACTTGGAAACTTTCAATGTTATTACACAATAACAGTATAATGATGGGAGATGTTATGATTAAATGCTTAGAAGAATAATAAAAACAAATTATGTGAAATATAAAATGAATTGATTTTATTTGGGTTATTTATTTATTTATTTCAAACCAATTAATTATCAACCATGAAGCTTATTTTTAGAAACATTTGCAGATATATGAAATATAACCCTGCTGGTACACAGATCTACAGTTCTAAAATGCAAATAACAAGTACCTTTCACACACCACTGTTGAGATGTGAATAATCATATGTATAAAGTAGTAAAAAATATCACAAAATGTGTGTAAGCAAGATATTTCTGCAAGTAACCTCATTAATCAGTCAGGAAACTTCATAATGCACCCAATAAATGTAGAAATTTGAGCCAGAGAAATTCTACATACAGGCATGACAGATTTTCCATATATTGCCATCAACCCTTAACTGAATGGGCATAGAAAGAACAAAGTGAGTCTCCCTCCCATTAAAAATGAGAAATAAAAATAAATAAATAAAAAACAGATACTGTCATTCTTAATACTGAAAAACAATGGCACCTTGCAGCCTTCACTGCCTCACTATTTGCAGACAATGTTCTCGTCACTGTAACTGTGTACTTTTGATAAGGCATAGATGCAAGAATAACTTCTTTGAAGTATATTGTGAAGGTCTCTTTGTCATAAATCTGCCATGTATAACCTGAATGTACATATTGCGATTCACACCGCAGCAGCTTGTCTTAGTAAGGACTCAACCAGTTTGAAAACTTGTGGCATAGCTTCAGGGACAAGATCACACCATCTATCCTTGCTGTGATGATGGATCTACTAGTACATTATCTATGTCTTGTCCTCCTAGTTTCTCTAATACCATTTCCCCTGATCTATGCTCACATCAATCTCTACAGCTTTACCAACTGCTACACAGTTTTTACATCTGAAAGTATAAAGCAAAAATTGTAATAAAGCACTATCAATTTACTTGTTAGATATTGATTTGAGGGCAAGAGAAAAATGCAGAAACCTCAAATCATAATCAAGATAACTGAAAATTAAATATGCATAATCAAATTAATAGCTTTAATTGTACATACTACTGAAAATTTAATCTTTAAAAGTTCTGCATAAATTTCTCTTGTTAAAATATAGCCTCTTCACAAAATGTGCTTGAAAAAAATAATAATGATAATACTAATAATCAACCTGCACACAAGATGGAACATGGAGGTCAATTGCCACAAAATAAGTTGATTTGTACTTGGTAGCCTGAGAAATAGTATCAGGTATTAATTTGAGCAGTAAATTGAGTAATAATACCACAGAGTAAGGAATGACACAAGCATATGGTGTTGTGTAACAAAATTCATGCATTACTTGCTGTGGCAGTGTCCTCCTCAACATATCGTGAACCGCAGGTTTTGATTTTCAATGTCATCAAATATTTTTATTGTTGTTAGTTTATGTATCTGCTATTCAAATAATACCGTTTGGAAAATAACTAACTGGTTTAATTATGCTTTTGCAACATGAATTTATCATTAACTTTGCCGGTACACGTGTATACAGTACCTTGCTATCAGTGCTGCTCTTTTCTCCCCAACTCGCCACTGACAGGCTAACCACATCGTTTCAAAACAACGTTGGTATGCTTCTATTACTTTTGGTGTTGGCAGTTTCGCCCCGGGGACTTTTTTTTGTTAAAAACAACGTATCGTTTTCACCCATCTATGCATTGCTCCTGTACAAAATGGCCGCTTGCTGCCCCCCAAGGGAAAAATCGTAGCACGTGGGTAGTTACGCAAGACCTGTGACGTATAACGCGCGCGACCTTATTCTAAATAAGATAAAAGAGTAATAATTTATAAACAAAGTGTGCCTACCATCAAGATTCACCTATACAAAAAAGCGGATAAAGATGTTCAAATTAAATAAGAATTAAACACGTTCGTCTTCATCAAATATGTACCGGGTTAAATTTTTAGTGTAAAGGTAGAAGCTATAAATAATAGAATGCTATAACAACTACCTGACACCCACGACCGTCAGTTTCATTTCTTTTGCCCTCACAATTAGTTCATTGCACTGGTCGAGGGCACAACCATACATCTTGCCAAATGTATACCTAGTCTTGTCAACTCGCGGGTGAATGCGTAACACAAGTCTTGCATCTGGATAGAGATTCTTTACCTTGACTAACTCATACTCGTTGTCAAAGGTCATAAGGTCGACTCCTTGTTCTGAGGCACGTTTAATGTCTTGGGGATCTTTGCAGGGATGGGCATATATAATCCGATCTGTTCCCACCCCATGGGTTAGAACCTGCTGGAATTCAGCGCTATTGGAGCAGTCAAACCCCGCCCCAAGTGCTGCAATGGTCTTCACGACTGGCTCAGTGTTGTTACATTTCACGGCGTAGAAGGGTTTGACACGTGGCATCAGTTCCACCCAGTGCTTGTGCTTGTTAACGATGTCATTCAAATTGACAATATAGAAGGGACGCTGCAATATTTATAATATAATATGAATATTAATGTGTATGTTTGATTACTGCAGATGACACCAGCCCAAATTTAACCAAAAAGGAATGTGTTTCATATTCTTTGCTTTAATCCACGTATACATTTACATTTCCATAACCAAGTCAATTAATCTGATGGAATAGAGATACGATTGTCATTCAAATAAAAAAATCTAATGGTGCCTTCAAAAGCATGTTAGTAATTGAAGCTCGTCAATATGGGCAACTTATATTGGTGATTCTAACATGAAACACTAGTTTCGCCTTTGATCACATGAAACACTAGTTTCGCCTTTATCATATGTGTTACGGCAATAGCACGGTTAGTCACTTTGAAACGATTCACTTTTTTACCATCAATGCCAAAAGAAGACAAACCATAGAGTTGTCCAAGAGATTCAGTGGCTGAGGCCCGATTCAGAATAGGGGACTAACTAGTCCGAGGGTCAAATATGGCCGACCCACTTGAATACTTCCCTGAGGTAGTGGATTGGACGACAAGCTTTGTAATGGGTCGCCATATTTGACCCTCGGACTAGTAAGTCCCCTAATTTAAAGCTATTTAAGTTTCTTTCACGATCGGACCAATGAATCTTGAAAGCCTTAAACCACAACCATTTTCAACCTAAAACATATTCATTTCATATTTAAACATGCCTTACACCACAATATTATGTTAATGCCATGTTAAAAAATCTCATGATTCTCAATTGCCGTAATTACCCTGTCTGTCTTTTCTAATATTTTTTCGTTTATAACTTGCAGTATTGCCTGGTTATTGTGACGTCCAGGAATTGGCTCAATATTTTCCGTGGTTTCAGGGCGTACTGTCGTCATTTTGTTTTCTTAAAGATGAGCTGTTGTGGTATCTTTATCCAAATTATATTTTTAAAATCTGAAAATTAATTATAAATACAATCTTAAGATTGTTAAAATAGATAGGCATAAAACTTACATGTAAAGTATATTAAAAACTGATTTCACAACGTAGCAAATACAATTATGTGAGGCACACCGAATGTAACACTTGCAACAATTAATTGGAGCATGTAAATGTGAAGTGTAGTAATACATCAACAAGTAGCAATAAAAATTTTCTAGCAAACTACTGAAAATTTGTTGCCTCAAACTTTTGGTTTGCAGCAATATTGCTGCAAATTATTTATATTGCTAAGAATAAGTATTCACGCTCTTGCAAATTTGCAGCATTGTCTGTTGATAACCGAAGAGTGTGCGGCAGGCCTGATGTTTTGCTAGAGGATGTGCTGACGCCTTAGTTAAGTCATGCCCCTATGTATGAAAACCGGGCATAATCGTAACTGAGCGAATCATTTAGTAAAATGAAACGAAAAATGATAAATGTAGATGTATTTAAAAAACGATACCTCGTTATGATAACGTGCGACAAGATTTGTCCATGTTGAGTTGTATTATATTCTACAAGAAAAGGAATACACGGAAAAATAGTGTAAATATGGTTATGTATGCAGTGTGTGTATGACACCTTTTGCTTGCGTGGTCACAGTTCTGAGCACTCTTTACATGCATTAAGCCTGGGTCCCAAATCCACGCACGATTTTCAGGTCTTACTTTCTTAGGTTCCTCTCGTCTGGCTGGGCCGTAGCTAGATTGCAGGGAAGGAATCTAGTAATTGGTGGTTGCAATGAGTGCGCAAGGAGAAAGTGCGTCGAAAGTACGTGAGAAGCACAGCCTCCGCACGCCAGAAGTGCCTATTGCGCCTGACGGGCTTTCGCACGTATTCCGCGCGCCCCGTGAATGCAAAGTACAAGCATCGTGCACTACGTACGTTATGCGCACAAGGAGTAACGCAAATGGACGTAGGGTAGTCTTGTTGACTTCCTACGGTTGTTGCTCGTCCTGTGCACGCTAGTCTTGCGTATTGAGATGTTCTTTTATTTGGCAGGGTATAAAACAGTGCATGTTTGAGGAGATCATTATATCCGCAGCAGTGTTCAAAGATTCCTGACTTGTCCCCGATCCCTTTCTCCCCCTCTTGCTCTTTGTTGTCTTTTTAGGCATTTTTAAAACTTGACATCAGAGGCAGAAATAACGCTTTTTCGTTCATGCCCCTCCTTTAAAACTCACGGTCCTTGCGCATAGAGTGACCACTACTCGCACAACATGCACGAAACCCGTGCGATCCACGCGGTGGGCGCGTGGAAGTGAGGAGTGAGAACGTAGTGAGCAAGAAATAAGTACGTGTATCATGGGTCTTAACCACGTGCATCGCACGCACCGTAGCCACCCAAGCGCAGTGTTGTACTTTTTCCTTTTTTTGAGAATTTGTAGACCGCACGCAGCAACTGTTGATCATGTCGAAAAATTTCTACGTGCTGTCTGTGATCTCCAAAAGTTGCACGATGACGTGCTCTTCACACACGAAATCCCACGTTTTCCCCTTTTTTTTGGCCATAGACGTAGAAGCCCTTATGTTGGGTTGGGACCCAGGTTTTAGTCATTAAAACGCTGCTGTTACTCATAATAATGTACATGTAAATAAGGTTTGTTAAGTTCAAATATTGAACATCAACATGCCGTAGTTTTAGTGTTTTTATACCCCAACATATATAGGCTAACTGAGAGGTCAATGTGTGTACGTTTGTATCTCTTTAAGCCATCACAGTGAATAAAATAACACACACACACACACACACACACACACACACACACATCTAGTATACAAAAAATAATAATAAACAAATCTGAAATATACTTTATTATTTTACTTAGGTAAGTGTTAATTGACTTACCGGTTAGATTATACTTGTCTTGGTTAAATTGCGTCTGTTGATAACCGAATATCTCTATCCATCAGATAATGCTAAGATTTGCAGAAATTTTCCATTAATGGCCGTCCTCAGGTACAGTGGTGCTTTACCTGTATGTTTACCCAAACTGTAAAACACACGACTACAATGTATAAAATGGAGGTGCCTTTTTGCTTTACTAAATATAGAGCTCGCAGGTGACGCCGGGTGTCATGCCTGCTTTGTTGTCATAATAATGCATGCAATCCAACCTAAGTAGATATAAACACGGATACACGATACCTATAATTCTCTCCTGATTACATTTGATTATGCCAGTATTGCATCATGAGTTCTGGGTGGCTGCTAGTAAATTGTAGCACCTGTTACGGGACTACGTTCACCGCGCGTGGACCACTGCTGATGACGTCCGACTGAGAGCAGACTATATATAGGGGAGACCGGGGCTAGTTGGCCCAGTTAGACACTTTTGGCCTTGTAGAGCCAACTAGGAATGAGTTAGAGTAACAAAACCGGTTTTAAAGTAAGGCCCATGAACTAAGCTACGTATGCGACGTCATTATTTTTCAAATATAATGCCAGATGGCTCACACTTTGACAAAAAACACAGTTGACGTCAAGGGGGCCAACTTGCCCCGCCACGGGGCAAGTTTGCCCCAGGATCGGGGCAAGTTGGCCCCCCCTATACGAAAATGAAGCATATATCCCACGTAAACGCCTTG